GTACACAGAATTGCCAAGGAGAGGATACTCTCAGTGTGTGCGTGTTTTGAGAAGCTCATGCATAGCCTGAAGTAGAGCAGTGGCTCTCCCACCACCACCTTTCCTGGGTTCCATGAAACAGGCGTGAGCCCAGGGAGTCAGTGCCGCCCATGTTCTGGAGTCGCATGTCACCTCAGGTGCCCTAACCTATTCCTTTCCAGATCTCTTAGATTTCCATGACAGAGAAACTTCACCACTCTAAGACCAAAAAGATGAGAGCGTTCTTGCAATACTGTTTTAGAATGACACACATGCTTTGCCACCATAGGTTGACAAGTGTATTACAAAGATAAGATCCATGATGGCTCTTGTGGTCCAGCTTCTGTCGCTCTGCTATAAGCTACTGAAGAAGGTGAGATGGTTTTTCTGTATTCAGCTTCTTCTGCTAACTTAATGGAAACAACAGCATGGGCACAAGCCACTTTGCAGATTGCGGAGCAAAACAGAAGCTAATTGTCTTAACTCTTTCCTCCAGGTGGAAAATACCAGCTGGGTCTCAGCAGCAAATAAAGATACCATGGATGGTAAAACTTGAGCAGCCTGCAGTTCGTCTCTGGAATGTCACGTGGCACAGCCGACCTTTTTACAAAGCAAATGATCCTTTGTCTTTTTGGAAATTCCTCAGTTTTTTAAAGAGAATGCTGAAACCTTTCTTTTTTCTGATCTCCGATTAGAAAGCTTACCAACAGTCATTGCTGTGGGAGGGCTAAGAGTCTGACGGCAGTGCCATTTTAAAGTAGACACTGTGTTCAGGATGTTCTTCAGCACACACCAAATATGCCAGCACTCTTAATGACAGCGGAATCCCAAAGATGCAATCTTGAATGTACACTCCCCTTGGCAGCCTTAACTGCTCTATGTAAGCTGATTATCTGCAACACTAATTTCAGCAGAAAATTTGCAGTGGCCGGGTTGAATGCAGAGGTCTTTTTTAGACTGTGGACTCTTCAGTTCTTGTTGAAGCAGACTAAGGGCCCCTCAAATGCCTGGTCACATCCCTGCTTAGCACTGTTGCTTCTAACAAGCATCTCACTGGGTAAGGTTACACCTGTCCTATTCCTGCTTCGGAAAGGAAAACAAGTCACTCCAAAGAATCCCGGAGCAACTCCAGAAGAGGAAATGGCTTTTTATTTTAGCTGCAGTATGCATAGCTGATCACACAGCCCCGGGGTAGTGGATGGAATCCTAAGTATTTCTTACTGGTTTAAAAATAGTTTGAACTATCTTCAGTAGTGATGGAATGGCAGGTGCAGAAGACATCAGAATCGAGAGGCTGTTTAAATTCCAGAAACCTAAGCACTGTTTTATTAACGTGGCATTAGAACACTCATTTTTACTTTTTTTAACTCTAGGGTTTAAACCTTCTCTTGGGCTAGGGAACTGACTCCACCGGTAGCCTGTCTGCCTTCTAAGCTGTGAGTGAAGCAGGGATGAGACTGTGTGGGAGACCACTCAGCTGATCTGCTACAGTTCCGAGTATCAGAACAAGGGCCGCGGGAAGGAGCATGCGCATTCTGCATGTGCCGAACAGAACTCTCATCTCTTTCGCTGCCACCACAGGTATTAATTAACACAGCGTTTCCCAAAGCACTGGAATAATCTTGCACCCAACTGTTATGGGAAGTGATTGAATGGAGCCATCTCCTATGAAATAATCAGGATTATCACCAACTCATACGAGTGAAAATTCTGTGACTTCTTTTTAAACTGAGAAGCCGGATGCTAACTTCACTGGATTCTCAGTGTAAATATTTTAGTGATAAAGCAGACCCCTCAATAAAGCTGTAAGGATCATCAGGTATGCGGTAACAATGTCATTATCTTGATCAACAAAATAGGGATTATTAATTAGTATTAAACATGATAATGTACACTTCAATAAAAATTATGTTCAATAACTGAATTTGTACCAACTGGTTTAATTTTGATCCATTAACCAAATCGGGGCAGGGGCATACTGATGAGTAATAAAATTAAAAGTGCCCTTGCAACCTGTACTATTTTATGTGTCTGTACTTTAAAGCACTTCTAGCATGGCCTTTAGCCTGTGAAACAAAATGTTCTTTTAACTTGCAATAAAACTAGCGAAGAAAGGAACAACCTGTGAAACAAATGTGGCCTCTTGCAGCATGAGTCTGAGCTTCCCTCTGCCACTCAAAGTGAGGATCTGCTGCTGTGGCTTAATTTTCACCCCACTGCGATCTCTGTAGACAGCAACTACACAGTCTTTGTCAAGTCTGATGGTGCAATTATGGGATAGTCAGGCTGACACTTGGGTTATAAAAAGTTTGTCTTATAAACTGAAAACCTTTTTAAAAAGTTTTCCTTACACATATTTACAAAGTATACCTTTACACACTGAAAATAGAATTCAAGATGCCTGGGGCTGGGGAGGTTGAAGTAACAGGGTAACATGATGTCAACAGCACAAAAGGACAGAACTTACAAATCAGGTGTTCAAGTAGAAAACTATTTTATTTAAAGTTCTAACCCCCCCCCCCCCCAGTTACAGGGAGCTACTTATTTCTTCTCAATAAACTCTGCTTGCTTGCACTTAAAATTATTCCATTAAAAACAGGAAAATGATAGACACTTACTACATGTTGCAGCTCTTAACAACAAAACTTCACAATTTAAGGTCTTTTTGTTTTAAATTTAGTGTAAACGTCTAATCTAAAACCAGAACTTCATAGCTGTTTTTTTCTAACTTACATAATTTAAAAATCTTGTTCTAAGACACCTGTGCCTCTGCATGACACACTGGAAATCTTCCATTGCTACAAATTAGCTGTCAGTAAGACATGCATGATGAGTCACTACATGCGTGGGCAGCAGTCAGCTGAACAATGCAGCACACTTCTTCCGTTTGCTAGAAGAGCCCTTGTACATTTTCAGAGCTTTTCCGCAGAGCAGAAGACGGACTCCACACTCCTGCCTCCCCAGCAACCTGAGGGGACGTCACAGCAGAAGGGGAGGCTGGGCCTTTCCATTGCACTTTGAAGCAGATTTGGGAAGTGTAGATAATTAATTTTGTTTTTCCAAAGTATTAAATTATTAAAAAAAATAATAATTAAGGCAAGAGGCTGGAGAGATGGCTTAGACGTCAACAGCACTGGGTGTTCTTCCAGAGGACCTGGGTTCACTTCCCAACACCTACATGGTGGCTCACAACCAACTGGAACTCCAGTTCCAAGGAGGCTGATGTCTTCTTTGGCACCTACAGGTGTTGCGTGACTGTAACATCCATGTACACATGGGGGAAACACATAAAAAAGAACACATTTCTTATAGAAATGCAAAACTTTAAAAAATATTTCTCAAGAGCTTGTTTTTCAATCAGGAAAATATTCCTCGTTTGCCATTTGTTAGAGAAACAAGAGGAACAGAGTGAAGCTGGGGAAAAGGCTCAGTCGGGGAAATGCTTGGCTCCTGTTATAGACTGACAAAGTCCCCCATGGTTCATGTATTCGAAACACTTGGTCCCTAGTTGGTGGCACTTTTGGGGAACGTTACAAACTTTAGAATGTTAAGACTTGCCAGATGAAGCCTGTCACTGTGGACAGACTTTGAGTGTCTAGCCTCGATCCAGTTCCACTTTACTGTGTGCCTCCAGTGAGTGGTGGTCTGATCTCAGCCTGCACTCGCTGCCGTGGACACCTAGTCCCCTGGAACTACAAGCAAAACAAAACCCTCTTATGTTGCTTTGGTCACACGGTGTTTTAACACAGTAACAGATAGGTAACTAATATTACCCAGTTGGTACCCAGAACTGAGGTTGTTGCTGTGGAAACAATGTGACCATTTCTTGGTAGAATTTGGAAGGCTGAGAGCACTGTGAAACAGGACTTCCTGTTTGGAGCCTAGGAGACCAGTGCTGCAGATAATGCAGACAGATGTTTGGAGCCTAGGAGACCAGTGCTGCAGATAATGCAGACAGTAGAGGCCTGGCTTCTAGCTTTCAGAGAGAAACAATGTCTCGGTTAGCAAACTGGCTTGAAGCCATTTATGTGACCCTTTGACAAAGAATCTGGCTACTTTCTACCCAAGTCCTGAGAACAGACATGAGGCTGAATTACAAAGTAATGGGCTACTTTCTCTGGCATTAGATATTTCTAGATAGTGTAACTTTGGCCAAGGAAAGCCAGCATGTCTGGCAGAAATACAAAATGTACAGCTTGGAGAAAAAGCACAAGGAAGTCATGTTCTGGGAAAGGCTGTCATTACTAGAGAAATATTAGTGTTATCAAGAAGTTTGCTCTAGGGCTGGAGAGATGGTTTGGCTATTCTGCCAAAGGTCCTGAGTTCAATTCCTGGAAACCACATGGTGGCTTTCAACCATCTATAATGGGATATGATGCCCTCTTAGGCATACATCCAGACAACACTTATACCTAAAAAAATACATTAAAAAAAAAAGGTCGGCTTTAAACTGGAACAACAGAACAGTTGGCCAAGGCAAGACTTCACCCAGATAAACCTCCAATTTGTGAAAGACAGCCTAAAATAATGGCTGTTTGTTCCTAGAAAGCAACATAACAAAAGAGCTGCTGTGGACAAAGGGAATAGAAGCTGGTAGTCTAATTCTGAGGTATTTTCCACATGGTACTAGCTTTGGAGGCACGAAAGAATGAAAGGTTTCTGGATTCTTCCTTCCTTCTTGGCTTCAGCATGCCAAGCAACATGTGGTAGGGATGGGGTTTCTGCAAGGAGGCCATGAAGAGGTCAGTGACTGGTGCTGTGGTGGGGAACCAAAGCTCTGAGCCATCCACCACGGAGGCTGCGCGCAGCAGAACCACATCTGTGCTGCAGGCAGCGATGCTGGAGGGGCAGCCAACCAAAGCCCTTGAAACTAAACACCTGGACACGGAGCTGCAGGACTTGGTGTGTATCATGCTGGTTTTTGTCTTGCTTTGGTTCAGTATTTTCTCACTGTGCCCACCAGTCCTTTTTTTTGGAATGAGAATGGATATTCTGTGCCAATGTATGGTGGAAGCATGTAACTGGTTTTTTGATTTCCAGGGGGACGTAAGAGATTGCATTGAGTCTTAGAAGGGACTTTGAACTTCAGGACTGTAATGACTATGGGATTAGCTGCATTTTGCGTGATATGGCTATGGGCCTATAAGCATCATGGGAACAATGTTGTAGATTGATAAGAAAAAAATAACACCCATGGATTTATGTATTGGAACAGTTGGTCTTCAGCTGGTAGAACTTTTAGGATAAGAAATCTAGCTGGGGGAATTACATCACCAGGGACAGTTAATAACCTCACCTTGCTTCCAGTTCACTCTTTGCTTTTTCTGTATGGTGAAGATGTGATCTCTCAGCTTCTTGTTCTTGCTACCATGCCTCCCCACTAGGATGGACATCAAGTCTTCTGGAACTACAAACCCAAATACTCTTGTGACGTTGCTTTCGGTTACAATATTTTATCATAGCAACTGAAAAGTAATACACCATGAACACATGAAGACCTGAGTTTGGGTTTTCTGGCCCATAGAAAACTTGGCCATAGAGCGTGCACCTTCCAAGACGGAGGCAGAGGTGATGGGTGTCTCCCTGGAAGTTCATGAGCTACCTGGCAAAGTTCTAAGTCAAAGAGAGCCTGTCTAACAAAAGGTAAAACAGCATCCGAAGTTGTTTTCTGACATACATATGGAAGTGAATGCCCACAATTGTACTTGCCCCACACAAAGCAAGTACCTGGGCAAGGCAGATGTAGAGCTGGACTACAAACAGGGACCAAGGCTTGGGATACTCAGACAAGAGGCGAGTTAGGTAAGAGAGGGACTGGGCTGCCCCTGCGGCCGGGTATGAGGAATGCTTCTCATGCACTGGCTCTCTCCAGGGCACTGATGGTGGGTCCAGGGAGGGTGAACATCCTATGCTGTCTCTCCATCTCTAGGCTCACGGCGTGGCTGTGGCATTATGTCGCTTTATCACGACCTCTTCATACTGTTGCTGTGTCAGTAACCCTTCTGTTATGCTCTTACTTTCTTCAAATTTTGGTAACACAACCGCAATGTAGCCTTCAGTGGATGGCTGGGGACAGAGCATTTAGCTTGGTCAAATGACTGCCAACCGGCACGCGGACAGGCTATGCCTCCCACCCTCCCCTACCTTTTCTTGGAGAAGGGATGGCTTATGAAGAATATTTTCGTTCACCTCCATCAGCCGACCTCTAACACAGCTATTTTCAAAAGAGAAGTTTTAGAAAAAAAAATTTGTAGTAATTTTTACTATAGTGAACCCAGGCGTTTGAATTTGGGCAGCTAAAAGATTGCTTACCTAGATATGGTATATTCTTCTCCATCGGAGCAGTATATCTTACACAGAGGTGCAAGTTCTGTTAGAAACTGTGCCCCCTGGGTAATGAGATGAAAGAAGCCAATTAATTGTGTATTTCCATTTCCTCTAATACACCCCCTCACTATTAAAACAGGATTCTAGGCTTGGGACTGATGTTTCATAGGAAAATGATTTAAGAATATAAAACCACTCATATACTTGAATATAACAACCTACTATGTGCTAGGGACCATCAACATAACAACCTCCTATGTGCTAGGGACCATCTTTTAATGGGCAGTTTACTTACAGGCTAAGAATGAATTTTTTTCAATTGCAAATGAGAAATCTATATATGGCTAGGCACAAAGATTTTAAGTTACAGGATAATTCACTGCAAGCAATAGTATAAAATTCAATATAACATATGGCAGCAATATCCTACAGTTTCATTAAGATCCCTGTCTGCTGTGGGGTGTGGTGGTTATACTCCTTCGATCTCTCTGAGTTAGAGGCCAGCCTGCTTTATACATCAAATTCCAGGTTAGGCACAGTTACAGAGTGAGACCCTGTCTCAAAACAAAAACCAAAAACTAAAAAGTATCTAAATGATCCCTATCTTTATGTTAGAAATTAATAGGTAAAGGAACTTTACAGGGTCGCCCACTATGACTTTTTGGAAGGCAGCTATGCTCACCAATATACCACCAACGAGATTACTACGACTTTTTGAAGAAGGAGTGTCTCTCTCTCTCTCTCTCTCTCTTTCTCTCTCTCTCTTTTGTTTTTTGAGACAGGGTTTCTCTGTGTTACTTTGATGCCTGTCCTGTAACTAGCTCTGGTAGACCAGGCTGGCCTCGAACTTATAGAGATCCTCCTGCCTCTGCGTGCTGGAATTAAAGGTGTGAGCCACCAACGCATGGCTAGGAGTGTTTTTCTAACTAAAAAACAAAACTAGGGGGCTGGGAGATATCTCAGAAGTTAAGAATATTTATTTACTACCCTTGAACAGGACCCAGGTTTAATTCTCAGCACCCACATGGTAGCTCACAACTACCTGTAACCTTGGTTCTAGGAGATCTGAAAAGCTTCCCTTACCTCTGCACATTCCTACACACATGGCATATATACATACATACACATAAATAAAAATAAAACAAAAACAATATGTATAAATAAATTCCACAAAACTAACTGAAACACATGCCTTTTAACTATTAGTGCCATATCTTAATCCACCACCTGATAGCATGTATGGTCATTGTTTCAAATACTCTGGGAGGTGGGTATACCGGGGGTTGTTTTATCTATAAGCAGGTGAATTAGTGTTTGATGCATTGCCCTCATTTTATGAACTTTTCCTATAGTGAACACAGGCCATTGGAGCCAAGATTCTGTTTTATTTTTGAGAGTTATGTAGCCTTATCCAGCTGGTACTTACTATATGGCCTCATACTTCCAACTGTGCTACCTTAGCTACCCAAGAGCTGGGATACCAGGTAAAGGCCTATCTTCCATCTCATCTCTTTGGGGATAAGAATGTGAACACGGAATCTATTATGATAGACATTATACCTCCAGAACACCTTTTCTTCTTCTTCTTCTTTTTTTTCCGGGGTAGGTGTTGTTATTACTGAAAATGATTACACTGAACTGCCATAAAAAATCTGGCTCCATTATAGCACAAATATAGGGGGAGGGGGAAATCACAGAATTATAGGAACATACCCGCTTAAATTTCCCAGACACTTTGTTCTGAAGTCTGCTACAGTTGGTACTGATCTGATAGGAGATACTTTTAATAGTTTTGCCACTTTGAAGCACAGGATGAGATCCTGCCAGTGTGATGACACATATTCTAGAAAAAGAAAAGAAGTCAATCCTACATTGCTGTATGACTGGAGACGCCCTGCTGTAACAGTATCTGAGAGAGGACTGCCCAACCAGCCTTCACTCAGTACAATCATCACCTCTTTCAGCTGTGACGGGAGGCTAAATGTAGCAGGGGGAGTACAATAAAGGAAGAAGAGAAAATAGGATTGAATTTTCCTCCCAGAAAAGGAACAGCAGTATCTTGAGTCTTTAGCTAACCCTGGAGTAACAGAGATGCAAGGCATGACTGTGTCCACAGGCCTCCACAGTGAGCCATTCCACAGGTCTGGCTCTTCAGTGGTTGGCACAGTAAATGACTGAAGAGGACTTGCACCTGCCTCTACACGCCTATAATACCATCTCAACACAGAAGACTGTTGACAGAGGTGTCTATCCCGCCCAGTCCTGCAGCTGTTCCACCCCAAAGAAACACACAGAGGTCTACATTAATCATAAACTGGTTGGCCTATTAGCTCAGACTTCTTATTAACTTTTACATCTTACATTAACCCATAATTCTTGTCTGTGCTTGTCATGTGGCTTGGTACCTTTTATCGGTGAGGTGTTCTTGTCTTGCTTGCTCTGTGTCTGGGTGACGACTGCAAACTGAACCTTTCCTCTTCCCAGAATTCTCCTTTTCGGGTTGCCCTGCCTATACTTTCTGCCTGGCTACTGGCCAATCAGCATTTTATTAAAACAATGCAAGACCATTGTCCCACAGCAATTCCCCTCCCATTTTTTTTTCAAAACAAAAACTCTGAATCTAATCTTCTTTGTTCAGCTTTTTTTCCCCCCACACCATTATTCATAACAACTTGTAACCCAAAACTCTAAACAAAGATACATATCCATAATAGATTTTTGGGAATGTGGGTGTAGTTTTCCAGGCTACTTCCTGCTGACTGGGGGCACTGAAGAAGATTTAGAATTATGATCAAGTCCTGACTGGAGTATTCAGTGAGGCTTGATCATCTCAGCCAGCAGTCTTGAGACTTTTCTGGATGTAGAACTCAGAGGAAACTCCAACAGAGGTCCTCTCAAATGTTGGACCATTTGGACCACCCGCTCCTGTAGGAGATCCTTCGGGGGTCTTCCTTGATCCAACCTCATTTTTCTTAACCCAGAATGAATCCACAGCCTCTCATTTCCTGTGGAAATAAAAACAAAACCTCTTCTCCAAAGTCACATTATCTTTTGACTTAATTTTTGAAGTCGAAGCATTTTTAAAATATATGTTGTATTAATCCAGCATTTGTAATCAAATGTCTTTTAGCAGCTGTTGTTCCCGCCTTACCCATCAAACCATTTAAAGACAACTCAATAACATACAGCATCCAGACTCTTTATGTATTTTTCATCTTTACGTGGCTTTAATTTTTGGTTTTTTGAGACTAGGTTTCTCTGTGTATCTTTGGCTGTCCTGGCACTCACTCTGTAGATGAGGCTGTCCTTGAACTCAGAGATCCACCTGCCTCTGCCTCCCAAGTGTTGGGATTAAAGGTGTGTACCACCATACCCAACTACTCTCTCTCTTTTTTATTTTAAGAACTTTATCCTTTTTCTTTTCTCCCCCAAGCCTATATATATTTTTAAACACACTGTAAACCATTTAGAGGGCTTTTTTTAAATTTGAATCTATCTTTACTGTGTATCTCTCTTTCTGATCACATGAGTTTTTAATTTGCTAAGCCATGACGGCTGGATACACCTCATTCCTTAGTTTTCTGAGAGGCTAGCCTCATGGGGGAGCTCCTGGGCAGAGCCGTTGCTTATTGCCCGAACTCTGCAGAGTTTCAAGGTCCCTGCCACCACCCAAAAAGCATGCGGTCAGCTATTCATCAACATCGTTTAAGTGTTTTGTGGTGGGGCCTCTTAAAAGATCTGCAAGGTTTTTGCACCTAAAGCTGAGTCAGAAAATCTCTCTTAAATGAGATGTGCTTGCCTCTAGCAAACAGAGTCCACCTGAGAAAATGCTGATACCAAGAAGCCATGCTTAACTCTGTTCTTTTGTGTCTAGAATTACTTTCCAAGCCTTCTCAGGTTTTAAGTGGATTTAGCTGTACACGTTGGCCCTATTTGCTGCCCAAATATCATGAATGCTCATATCCAGCCCAAGACTACATTAGGCTAACTACCAGAAGTGCTGGTAATTGAGAAATTCTTGGTGTGCTTACCGGTTGGAGTGCTGTAGTATGCAGTGGTCCTCACAGGGTTTTCCTTTAACATCTAGGGGAATAAATGAGTTGCTGGTTCTTGAATTGGTATTTACTATTACCATGTGATTGCCTTCTTTGGTTCACAGAGATACTTCACTATGAAGCTGGGGCCAATGCTGGTGACAGTGGTCAAAGTGAATAAAGCTATGGAGTGTTTAAGTGGCCTAATCCAGACAGAATCATTTCTGCATTGTTAAGGCAGGTAAGGCTATTAACGCCTCCATCTTGTCCCTTTAAAATGAATATACCCATTATTTCTAGTAGAGAAACATTATAATAAGCACCACATTGCTTACATTGTGGTGGTGTGGGGCTATCTTTTCTTTTAAAAATGATTTATTTACTTTTATTTTCCGTGCATTGGTGTTTTCTTGTACATATGTCTGTGTGAGGCTGTCGGAATCCCCTGGAACTGGAGTTACAGGCAGTTGGAAGCTATCATGTGGGTGCTGGGAATTGAACTCAGGTCCTCTGGAAGAATAGGCAGTGCTCTTAACAGCTGAGCCATTTCTCCAGTCCCAAGGGTTGTCTTTAAGTTATGAATAAAAACACATTTTGGGAAAATTAAGTCTTTGCTTATGCTAAATTTGGCCCAGTCTTTATCTGTTCGTGTGTGTGTCCGCCAGTTTTCCTAAAATAAAAAGGCTAAAACAAAGATCGGAGAAATCTCAAAGGTGGCATCGATATCTTCTGGGCACACAGAACTGGACCCCTGGGTAGCCTACTTTGAAACTCCAAGTGGACAGTATGAGTTGTTTCTTAACACTAGATACAGCTTCCTGAACTCCTCTTAATGCTCTCTCCACCTCGGTCTAGGATTGAGCCCCACAGGTACAGAAACACTAGGCATGTAAACCCAGACAGACCAAAGCGGGGTTCCTTAGTTTACGTACCCCCTCCCCACACTGCCCTGCGCTTCCGACATCGGATGCGCCTATTTTAGTTCTCCAACAATGCAACCCCGTATTCCTGGTATTAGGAAGCTCAGGTTAACGCATGGGGGCCTTACACCACGGAGCAGGAGTCCCCGTGGCATCCCGCCTGCGCAGTAGTGCAGAGCTCACCATTATTCCGCACTTACCCGCTTTATACCAGCGAGTGAAGTATCGATCCACAAGGGAGGGCGTCGCGGGTTCGGTAGCCATGGCTACCTCTGGCTCCCCCAACCCTGCCTCTGGGCTCCCGAGCTCTTCCATTCTGCGGGTCCAGGCCAGAGGGAGATTACTTCCCGCGTGGTAGCGTCGTGCGCATGCGCACACCTCGCCGTTCTCCTCCCCCCCCCCCGCCCCGCCCTCCCCCGCCAGTCTCTGGTACTCGGGGGACAACGCCCGACTGTGGCACTAATACAACCGGGAGCCGGAGGGCTGAAAGACAGTAGACAACAGTCGTGCACAACCCGACCAGGCTTCCGCTAGCGACTGAAGAGAAGCCCGATCGATGGGCAACGCCTACGTGGTGACGTCACACCGCCCACGCGCCTCCCCAGTGACGCCGCGCTTGCGCCTGCGCCGCCTGGCTTGCGCTAGCTGACGGGTTTCGCCCATCAGTGGTGCGAGTCTCTGTCGCCCGTGTGCGGTGGCGGATCCTTCCCAAACCCAGTGCGTCGTGAGAGCTCGGGGCCGCAGACCAAGGCGACGGCCTAGTCCTGCGAGGGCGTCTCAGGTGAGCGTTTGCGGGCCACCTCCCCCCGAGCCGCTGCGCTCGGTCTGGCCCAGCAAATTCAGGACGGTCCTAGTGCAGGGGCGAGCCACGCATTTCTGCCCGTGCAGAGGCCTGGACCGCCTCTGTCCTCGAGTGTCGCGTGCTTTCTGCACGTTTGTTCCCCGAGGCCATCCTGGAGCGCTGCGGGGCACAGTTGCTGGGGCTGTCGATCCCCTCCCCCCGCTGCATGGATTCCTTGCCGCGTGTAGATAAAACCTCTATCAGGAATTTGTTAGCCCGTCATGGAGGCTTCAGCCCCTTGCTGCGGGTCCCGTCTCGCATCTGAGAATTTTCTATGGCGTCTTGTATCCCGGGTTTCCTTAGCTGGCGTGCCTAAGCCGTGATTTCTGTGGCGTGATTGCGTAGTCTTTTGTCTTCGGGGCCTAACATTTGGCAAATTTTGATGGCTGTCGCATAACGGATCGTTGATATTGCGAAAAGGATGCGTTTGTATAATGAGAGCCGTGATGACAACCAGTGAATACCTCAATGTGAAAGAGTGAAAAAGAGGCAGTTTTAGCTTGTGGAAACAGACAGGTGACAATGAGTCTCAGGCTAGGATGAGCTGTCATTTGGTAAAAGAGTAGCAGGTCCTTTGTTTTTCAGGCTGCATTTCATGTGCATGTAATGGCCAGCTTATGATAACATTAGGAGATCCTGAGTTTCATGTTCAGTTTGAATTTGTTCAGTTACAGCTAGGTATATAGGTTTCTCTAAGCTTCCTTTTAGTTAGCTCTCTAGTATGCTCCCTGTTCCGAACGATTAGCCTGAAGGTGGGTAGAAGAAGAGCAAGGGGAGAAAATGGAACGCGGTCAGACTACTCGGACATGATTGGGGTTGTGTGATAGGACCCTCAACAGATATGTGGACGGGGAAAGGTTGAATTAATGGAACCAGGGGAGTTGGAGATGGAGGTGCCAGAGGAAGGATATTAACAGCTTATGATCCTGGAAGATACTCTTTTCCTATCTTTGAAAGCATTGAGGAAAGTATAGGGCTGTGTTCCTTTGAAAATTGAAGAAGTGAGAATTATGGGGATGAAAATTCAGAGAAATCAGTTTGGATGCTAAAAGGATTGGGGCATTAGGGGAATTAATGGGCTTGCCTTGCACTACATGCCCACAGAGGCCAGAAGAGGGCATGGGATCTCCTGGAACTGGAGCTATTGATGGTTGTTAACTGCTGTGTAGATGCTGGGAATCGAACTCAAGTCCTCTGGAAGAGCAGCCAGTACTCATTAACTGTAGACAGAGACTGCTCTTTTGTTCCCGGATGCCCAGATCCGAAATAATCACACAGAAACTATATTAATTACAACACTACTTGACCAATAGCTTATGCATATTTCTATCTAACTCTTACATCTTAAATTAACCATTTCTATTAACTTGTGTATTGCCATGAGGCTCATGGTTTACCAGTAAGGTTCTGAATGGCAATTGGTGTCTTTCTCATTCGGCAGCTACATGCTGTCTCCTTGACTTCTCTCTCTCTCTCTCTCTCTCTCTCTCTCTCTCTCTCTCTCTGTCTCTCTCTCTCTCTCTCTCTTCCAACCTGACTATATTCTGCCCTGCTATAGACTGAAGCAGCTTCTTTATTAACCAATGGTAATAGAACATAGTTATAGCATACAGAGGGGAATCCCACATCGTCTCCCCTTTTCTGCCTAAATAAAAAGGAAGGTTTTAACTTTAACATAGTAAAATTATATATAGCAAAACAGGTATCAAGCAAGAATTACAGTTATATTTGTATCTACTTTATCTTTTATCATAACTCCATCAAAAACCCCAGAAGGATATAATATTACCTAAGTATCAGAAAGTGCATCGTAAGCAACTTCCAAAATTCTAGAATTGACAGAGCCATCTAGCTGCCTGAACCCACAGTTCTTTTGTATTGTTGGGGCATCCATCTTCAGTCTACTGGCCCATAGTATCTGGCAGACTTTTCCATGAAGCAGGATATTTCAAAGACAGGTCTGCCTATATTGGCAGTTTGTCAGTCACTTTCCTCTGTGTCCTGTAGAATGTCTGGCAGACTCTTTCATGAAGCAGGAACCCCAAAGGACCATCTCACCTTCTTTAGGCAACTTCAGCAGTCATTTTTCTGCAGGTCCTGCTTATCCAGTTTATATAGCATAACATCAAGCAGTCCAGGAAAGAGCTGTTTCTTGCCCCAATAGCTAACCAACTCCATAAGGGAGCCTCTTCAATACCCATCATCCTCTTGAAGTAGATTGATGCTGCCAGGAGCAGATGTGTCTCATTGTCATGAACAGTCCTAAGTTTTTAAACATTTTAAGTGCCGTATTCTGCTAGTTTTTGAAAGGTTTGAAGAATAACTATCCATCAGAACTATATCTCTATACATCTAGAAAACCTAACTAACATGACTTCAAAATTGACTATTATAGATGACTATTAGCCTGAATTTCTTAATTATACATTACATTTTTAAATGAGCTGCAGAAACACAATACCTTAATCAAGAGGAGAAAAATATACAGAACAAAATTGACCTTAAATTTGTATCAATAGGGCTGGAGAGATAGTTCAGCGGTTAAGAGCATGTCTGCTCTTCCAAAGGTCCTGAGTTCAATTCCCAGCAACCACATGGTGGCTCACAACCATCTGTAATAAGGTCTGGTGCCCTCTTCTGTCCTGCAGGCATACATGCAGACAGAATATTGTATACATGATAAATAAATATTTTTAAAAAATTTGTATCAGTAGCCAAGATCCATACCAATGCAAAGTATTCATCTCTATAGCATATCCCCCTTTAAATGTAAGCAAACACTTAAAAACAATCATTTAGGGTATTTGGGCATTGTTCTTTAGACTACTTCCTGCTTATATGGGGTGTTGCTACTCAGGTCTTTTAAGGGGTATCCTGTGTGGTAGGTCCATCTCAGCCAGCAGTCCTGAAGCTGTCGTGGATGTTGGACCTTCTGGGCCATTGTTTCTGGGGATCTTGTTTGATTAAGCCATATTAGCTGGTAAAGAATCCACAGCTTTTTATCCTCTGTGGAAACAAAGACAGAACCTCTTTTCCAAAGCAACATATCCTTAGGCCCAAATTTTGAAGTCAAGATACCTTTATGTTGGTTTAACTTAGCAGGCCCCAGAATCAAATCTCTCTCTGTACTCAGCTCATTCACAGTCAAAAAATTCAAAGAAAACACAATAATATATAATCCAGACTCTCTGTGTATATCCATCTTTATGTGGCTTACTTTTCTTACTCTATTACTTTTTCTACAAGTTTAATATTTATTATTTTTACTCCTTTAATCTATGACTTATTTGTACTCTTTTATATTATAACTGTCTATACTCTTTCTCCTTTCTCTCTCTCTCTCTCTCTCTCTCAAATCTATATACATTTATCCAACACTGCGACTCGTTTAGGAGACTTTTCCATCTGAATTTGTCATTATTACGTGCATATCTGTAATTATTTTTTGACCAAGAGTGCTTTTTTTCTTTTAAATGCTAAGTGGGTGTGGCTAAGGCCTACTCCATGGCCCTGCCTGATGGCTCCACACAGTCCAATATGGTGGAGGCTTGTTCACTACCTCAGAGAGCCATACACATTGCCCCAGCTCAAGGGTAACACGTTACTCACAGACCCCATTTAAGTGCTCAGCCTCTTGAAAGAATCAGAGCTGTTCGTTCAACTAACACAAACCAGGAAGCCCTCCCCTAAAGAAGCCACACAGAAAACCTCTCTTAAAGGAGCCATGGCGCCCCTGTTTGTCACCAGCAAAGAGAGCCATCCAGGGGAAAAAAAAATGTGACTACCAAGAAACTGCGCTAAACTCTTGTTTTTTTGTGTCTAGAATTTTTTTCCCAAGCTCTCTGAGGTTTTCTGTGGATATAGCTGCCCCACATTGGTGTGCTAATTTGTAACCAGAGACTGCTCGTTCGTTCCAGGCTGCCCAGACCCGAAATAGTCACACAGAAACTATATTAATTACAACACTACTTGGCCAGTAGCTTCTGCCTATTTCTAGCTAACTCTTACATCTTAAATTAACCCATTTCTATTAATCTGTTTACTGCCATGAGGCTTGTGGTTTACTGGTAAGGTTCTGACTGGCGACTGGCATCTTTTTCCTTTGGCAGCTACATGGTGTTTCCATGACTCTGCCTGCTTTCTCTAAATATCTTTTCTATCCTGGCTATATTCTGCCCTGCTATAGGCCAAAGCAGCTTCTTTATTAACCAATAGTAATAGAACATATTTATAGCATACAGAGGGGAATACCACATCAGTTAACCTCTGAGCCTTTTTTCCAGACCTGAACTCAGTGATTTTTTACAAACTCAAATTATACCAGATGATGGTGGTGCACGCCATTAATCTCAGCACTCAGGAAGCAGAGACAGGTGGATCTCTGTGAGTTTGAGGCCAACCTGGTCTACAGAGAGCGATCCAGGACAGTCTCCAAAGCTACAGAAAAACCCTGTCTCGAGAAACTGAAAAAAAAAAAAAAGGAAAAAAAATTCAAATTGTTTTGCTGTTGGAGTCCAGTCAGAAAAGTAGAGGCCATAGAGCATTATGAAG